GCCACTAGTACAGTTTTGCTGTCTATTTCTTCCTGTGACTCACATAACTTCTCCTCTAAGAATTTAGATCTTATACCACTTGGTGCATATATGTTTAATATTGATATTACTTCATTGTCTATGGTACCTTTTAGCAGGATGTAGTTTCCTGTTTTATCTCTTTTAATTAGATCTATTTTTGCTTTTGCTTTTGCTTTGTCTGAGATCAGGATTGCTACCCCTGCTTTTTTTACTTCAGTTGCAGCAGAATATATTCTGTTCTAGCCTCTTACCTTTACTCTGTGTGTATCTCTGTGCTTCAAATATGTTTCTTGTAAACAACATATTGTAGGTTTATGGTTTTTAATCTACTCTGCTATCCACTTCTGTTTTATGGGACAGTTCATCTCATTAACATTCAAAGTTATGATTACTGTGTTTTTCTCTCCATCCTATTTTCCCCCATTTATACTTTTCTCTCTCATTTCACCCTTTCCCTCCTGACCATGTTTTGCTTCTGACCGCCACCTCCCTCAATCTGCCCTCCCTTCTATCAGCCCCCTCCCTTTTCTTTCCCGTTTCTCCTCCTACTTCGCTATAGGGTAAGATAGATTTCTATAACCAACTGAATGTGTGTGTGTTATTCCCTTTTTGAGACAGATCTGATGAGAGTAAGGTTCAAACAGTGCTTGTCCCCCCTTCTTTCCCTCTGCTGTAATAGGTCTTTGTGCCTCTTCTTGTGATATAATTTACCTTATTCTGCCTCCCCCTTTCCTCTTCTCCCAATGCAATTCCTTTGTTTTCACCTCTTCATTCATTTTTTTATCATCACATCAAAGTCAACTTATACCCACACCTTCTGTCTATTTTTACCCCTTCTAAATAATAATAAAGATACAATTCTCAAGAGTTACAAGTATCATCTTCCCTTGCAGCAATTTGAGCTTATTGAATAAATTTTTTTTCTTTCCTGTTTACCTTTTTATGCTTCTCTTGCGTCTTGTATTTGAAGATCGAATTTTCTGTTTAGCTCTGGTTTTTTCATCAGGAGTGATTCCCTTGAATGTACATATTTTCTTCTGAAAGATTGTGCACAGTTTTGCTAGGGAGTTGATTCTTGTTTGTAGTCCAAGCTCCTTTGTCTTCCGGAATATCATATTCCAAGCCCTCAAGTGCTTTAATGTAGAAGCTACTAAGTCCTGCATAATCCTGACTGTGGTTCCACGATATTTAAATTATTTCTTTCTGGCTGCTTGTAGTATTTTCTCCTTGGCCTGATAATTCTGGAATTTGCCTACAATATTCCTTGAAGTTTTCATTTTGAGATCTCTTTCAGGAGGTAATCAGTGGATTCTTTCAATGACTATTTTACCCTCATGTTCTAGGATACCAGGGCACTTTTCCCTGATAATTTCTTGAAAGATACTGTCCAGGCTCTTTTTTTTTATCATGGCTTTCGGGTAGTCCAGTAATTCTTAAATTATCTCTCCTGGATTTATTTTCCAGGTCAGTTGTTTTTCCAATGAGGTATTTTACATTTTCTCCTATTTTTTCATTCTTTTGATTTTGTTTGACTGATTCTTGATGTCTCATAGAGTCATTAGCTTCCACTTGCCCAATTCTATTTTTTTTAAGGAGTTCTTCTCTTCAGTGAATTTTTGTACCTCCTTTTCCATTTGGCCAATTCTATGGAGTTGTTTTCTTCAGTGGATTTTTCCCCCGTTTGGCCAATTGTATTTTTTAAGGAATTGTTTTCTTCAGTCAATTTTTGTCCTTCCTCTTCCAAGCTGTTGACTCTCTCTTGCATACCTCTCATTTCTTTTCCCAATTTTTCTTCTACCTCTCTTATTTGACTTTTAAAATCCTACTTGAGCTCTCCCAAGAAGGTTTTTTGGGCTTGAGACCAATTCATATTAACCTTTGAGGTTGCGGATGTTGGTATATTGACAATGTTGTCCTCTTCTGAGTTTGTGTTTTGATCTTCCTTGTCACCAAACTTTCTATGGTCAATGTTTGTTTTTGCTTCTTGCTCATCTTTTTGCCTATTTCCTAACTTTTAAAGTTGAGCTCTGCTTCTGGAGCACAGGGGGCACTGTCCCAAGCTTCTTCTTCTTCTTTTTTTTTTTTTGAGGGGCTAGGCAATGGGGTTAAGTGACTTGCCCAGGGTCACACAGCTAGTAAGTGTTATGTGTCTGAGGCCAGATTTGAACTCAGGTCCTCCTTAATCCAGGGCTGGTGCTCCATCCACTGTGTCACCTAGCTGCCCCTGTCCCAAGCTTCTTGTGCTGGGGGCTAGGGGCCTGGTCACTAGCTTTGTGCCCTGGGGCCTCAGGTGCTGGCAACTGGAGGCTGTAGGGTCTGGAAGCTTACCTGGTGCTGTGGTAGTGTCTGGTAGGCCAGGTGCTACATTTCCCTGGGGCTACAGTGAGGCATGTGGAGGTCTGGCCCCTGGAGGATGCCTGTTTACCTTTGGCTGCACTTAAGCACCTGGAGGCCAGGCAGCTGGAAGATGTCCAACTGCCCTGGGCTACGCTGAAGCACATGGAGGTCTGGCTTCTAGAAGACACCTGCCCATCAGGGCTGTGCTAAAGCATGTGGTGGTTCTCTGAGCTGGAGTCTGCCAGTTCTCCTGGATATGCTAAAGCATGTGGGGGTCCTGGTGTTGACATTTTCCTGATCTATCACATTGAGACTTAGGATCTCCCATTGGTTTTCTGAGGTGCGGCTTGCTACTGGCTTGCAGGGATACTTCCTGCTCTGGAATGTGCTCCCCTTTTACCTGAGTGAGACAGGACCTTTCTTGCTGATCCCCCAAGTCTCCCAGGCTAAAAGACTGCTCCACCCCATCTTTCTGCTGGCTCTGCTGTTCCAGGATTTGTTCTGGGGCACTATTTTATGGTTTTAGGGTGGTGAATATGGGAGAGCTACAGCAATTTACCACTTACTGCACCATCTTGGCTCCTGGAAGTCCCCCTTCCTCTCTTTCCTGTCTTCTTCCATATTACTCCCCTCCACACACTCTGTGGTCCAGCTATACTGGCCTATGTGATCTTCCTAACACATGATTCTCCATGTCCCACTGGCTGTCCCCCATTCCTGTAATTGTCTCGCTCCTAACCCCAGCCTCTAAGAATCTCTGGATTCCTTTAAGACTCAGTTCAAGTGCCTCCTCCTGATAGGACCTGTGCTGGTTCTCCCAGCTGCTAGCACCTTCCCTTTGAAGGCTACCATTTGATCTACTCTATATGTATCTTGTATGTACCCATTTCCATATATGTTTTCTCTTTGTGCTCCCTGAGATCAAAGACTTGTTTGTTTTTGTCTTTGTCTCACCAGTGCCCAATACAGTGCCTGATACATAATGAACTCTTAATAAATGCTTATTGATTGATCAATTGATTATTGTGGGTGAACAGTCCTTAGTGTCAAAGTTGCTAGGGTGTTATTGTCAGCTCCATCACCACAAACATCTCTTTGAGTTGAGGGATAGGTGAATGTCTTTTGGTCTGGGAGAGGGTCTCCCAAGGCCTTTGAGGCAACCCCCTCTTTTCTTTGTCAGTATACCTGGGTTGAAATCCTGCCTCAGACACTTACTAACTGTGTGACCCTGGGCCAGGAGCTTAACCTCCCTCTGCCTCATTTTCTTCATATGTAAAATGAAAGAGTTGTACTAGATAATCTCCAAGGTCCCTTCTAGCTCTAAAGCTATGAACCTCCGATCCTTTGTTTTCTAATTCCTTTCCCAATGGGGTACTAGTAGAGGAATAGGGAACCAGGAGTGATGTATTTATGTAGTCTGAATTCCATTCCCTCTTTGGCCCTGAAGCAATAATAATAATAATAGATGACATTTACATAACTTTTCATGGTTTGCAAAGCACTTTTATATATGTTATCTAGTTTAAGCAATAGGAAGATAATGAACTCCTGATGCTATTTGCACAGGGTGACTGACATCTTCAATAAAAATGGCCCACTGCTAAAGCTGCTTTAGTACTATTATGGCTTTTACAATTTGAAATGACTAAAAACAGGCATGCTAATTTGAGATCCATTTGAACACAGGAAATGCCATCTGTTTGCCAAGTTGATTATCATGAAAACTAAGTTAAAAATCTTTTAAATTTCTAAATGGTATTTTGATATATAGGAATGGAAAGATAAAATAACTTGAAATGGTGCTGATTTCCATCTTCCCAGGCTTTTTTTTTTTTAGCCAAATGGCATTAGCAGTAGCCCATTAATTTCTAGGATAACATCAAACCCTTATTTTCCACTTTTGCCACATTCACACATAGCTGGAAGTGGGGAAACAAAAACAGCCAGTGTGTTTTGGACAAGTCCTCCTCTCCCAGCCTGCCCCTGACCCAAACAGTTGCCTGCCCAGACACATTGCTGACTTCCCAAATGCCAATTAAACTTGAAAGCAGCCACCATAAGCTAGGTCTCCAAATTGATGTTCAGTAGCTTCCAATGGTAAACCAACATCATCTAGTTAGTATATATCAATTAAAGGTCCATTATTCCTTATAGGGTCACAGAATCATAGAGTGAGAGCTGGAAGAGATAGTAGATGCCTATTCAGTCCAACCCCTTCATTTTACAGAGGAAGAAATTGAGGTGAAATGACTTGCAGCTAGTAATTTTTTGAGGTGGGATTTGAACTCAGGTCTTCCAGACTCCAAGTAGTGTTCTATCCACTAAAACCCTGAATTTAACACTTTTTTTCCTCACCTTGATATTTGTTACCAGTTTGGAGAAAACTGTTCCCTAGTTTTCTGCTAGTTTTGTCATAGTTTCCCCACACAGGCATAGTCTTGGTTTTCTACTCTGTGCCTGAAAGCTGTTAGCCTGTAGATCCCAATTATCATTTGTTTTGTTTCTTTCAGATATGACGTTATATTCAAACAGCAGGTGGGAGCTGAGGATGTATTTCTGGGCATGACCAGAAAGGACCCTTCTACAGCCTGCTGTGAGCATCTCTTGGTGAGTTAGATCCTGATTTCAGATATGCACACAAAAGAAATTCAATTGCTGGATGTCTCTTGTTTATATCAGTCCCTACCATCAAGTGCCTTAAAAACTTGTTTTCCCCCTTTAGACCAGCTGTGTGAGTCCATTGGTATAGGGACCTCCCAGTGTGGAAATTCCCTCTACCTACATGGATCAGAGCCAACGCTGAAATTTAGAAAGTTGCCTGGGGTGTGGAGATTGTGATTGGCCACATAGCTAGTGTTAGTCAGAAACAGAACTTAAACACAGTTCTTCTTGCTGAGTTTGAGGCGAGTACTCTATCATCTAGACTACAAGTCTATAGGAGAAATAGCATATACAGTTATAGTAAGTCATATTTCTATAGGGATTTAAGGCTTACAAAGCACACTCTCTTCTCATCCACCCTGGGGTGTAAAGAGTACAAATGTGATTATCCCTGTTTTAAAGATAAAGAAACTGAAACTCAGAAAGAGAAAGTGACATGCCAATAGCCATCAAGATAGAAATCTCAGAGTCAAGACTCAAACCCACATCTTTTGATCAGGTTGAAAGAGTAAAGAGTTCAGTGCTCTTTCCACTATGCCAAACATGCACCTATACATATAGACAAAATGTATACAGACAAGATTTACACATGTACATCCAGATTCACACATTTCCACAAATTGCCCCTGTCCCATTAAGACAGATAATACAATTGGACTCAATTTTCTCTCATTAGGCTCTTTCCTGATACCATCTGATTGACTCATGGCTTTTTTCTTCTTCTTTTTTCTTTTTCTTTTTCTTTTTTTGGTGAAGCAATTGGGGTTAAGTGACTTGCCCAGGGTCACACAGCTAGTAAGTGTCAAGTGTCTGGTTTGAGGCCGGACTTGAACTCAGGTCCTCCTGACTTCAGGGTGCTGCTCTATTCTCTGCACCACCTAGCTGCCCCTCATGGCTTCTTCTAGATGACAAATAAACAGTCTGGACCAACGATTCTCTTTTTGTGTATTTCTTTTCATTTAGAGACTTCTTAAAAATGTGAGATCTCTCAATTTACATACTGAGAGGAAGACTGAGGATTCATTCCCCCCACTTCTTTAAAGGGCCATTGTAACAAGTTGGAGAACTTCATCAATGCCAAGACACTGTGCCAGTAGCCAAGAAATACCAGGTTGAGGTCAAGCTTGGAGAATGTTTGGAATTACATTTGGAATTAACCCTTTACAAGTTTTGACATGTGGTACTGGATTAGGCAGAAAGCTCATGTCCATCTTCCTTTCTATACCCTTGTGGCCTAAGTAATATAGAGAATAGTGCATCTTTATGAAGAACTAACTGTACAATACACAGCTCTTTTCTCATGTCTCCTGTATGCCAGAGCCAGAGCTCTGGATTTACATAGATCAGGTCAAGTCATACTCTATAGTGCATTCTCCACTCATAATTTCACGAAGAGCATCAGGATTTGGCAATTTTGCCTCTACCCAAGATTTCCCTTGGGAACATCAGAATTCTCCAGAAGTCTTCAAAACAAGAGGGAAAAGTCCCTCAGCTCCCATTTGAGCACTCAGACCAATAAGATATTGAGTCCGCCCTGCACTGGCTACCTTCTCCTCCCTTCCCCATCTTGACTCCTTGGTGAACTGGTTCAACTGTACACTGTCTTCTTCTCTCAAGTCCCTTGTACTTATTGCCGATATTACCCTGTTCCTCAATTTTCCCATTTCCCATAACCTTCTCCTTGACTGCTCCTCAGCTATATATATCTGTATCTATATCTGAAAATCATAACCTTCATCTAGGTCATAGCCACTAACTGTGGGTGCTCCACAGGGCTCTGTCCTGGCTCTTCTTCTTTTCTCCCTCTATACACTATTTCTCTTAGTGATCTCATCAGTTCCTGTGGATTCAATTATCATCTCTATGCAGATGATTCTCAAATCTATTTTTCTCGCCCTAACTTCTCTCCTGCCTTCTAGTCTCACATCTCCAACTTCCTCTTGGACATCTCCAACTGGGTGTCCCATAGACATCTCAAACTCAACATATCCAAAACCAAATTCAGTATCTTTCTTCTCAAACCCTCCCCTCTTCTTAAATTTTTTATTGCTGTTATGGGGACCACCATCCTCCCAGTCACCCCCAGGTGTCATCTTTGATTCCTCCTTCTCTCTCTCACCTTGCCCCCCCCCATCCAAACTGTTACCAAGCCCTGTAGATTCTACCCTTGCAACATCTTTCGTGTACTCTCCCTTCTGTCCTTTGACACTACCACCATCCTGGAGCTAGCCCTCATCGCCTCATGCCTCGGACTAATGCAATAGCCTGCTGGTTAGGAATTTTCCTGCCTCCAGTCTCTCCCCACTCCAGTTCATCCTACATTCATATGCCAAAGTGATCTTCCAAGAGTACAGGTCTGACCATGTCACCCCACCTACTCAATAAAGTCCAGTGGCTCCCTGTGCCCTCCAGAATTAAATATATAATCCTCCATTTGGCATTTAAAGGCCTTCACAACCTGGTCTCTTTCTGCCATTCCAAACTCTTTACACCTTCCTCACCTCTATATACCTCTTCAATCTAGTGATACTGGCCTTTTTTTTTTTTTTACTATCCCTTGCATAAAACTCTATACTTCCTGACTCTATTAATTTTTGCTAGCTGTCCCCCATACCTGGAATTCTCTCCTTACTCATCTTCCCTTCCTGGCTTCTTTGGCTTCCTTCAAGTCTCAGCTAAAATCCCACCTACAGGAAGCCTTTCTTGATCTGCCTTAATGCTAGTGCCTTCTCCCTGAGATTATCTCCAATTTATCCTGTATATATCTTATTTGTACATAAAAAGCATCCCTTTAGTTTTCTGTTCTTTACTATAATAAAAAGGGCTGCTTTAAATATTTTTGTCCATATAGGTCCTATCCTTCTTTCTTTGATCTCTTTGGAGTATAGGCCTAGTAGTGATACTGCTGGGTCAAAAAATGTGCACAGTTTAGTGACTTTGGGACATAGCTCCATATTGCTTTCCAGAATCTTTGAGCCATAATTTAAATGTTTCCCTTGATTTCTGGTTTTTAGCCATGTTTATGATAACATTGTAAAAGTTTAAGAAGTGAGCAAGAAAAATAGAGGTGGAAATGAGGCTTGTAGACAGCTTTTTTCTAGGAGTTTGGCTGAGAAGAGAAGAGAGATGAAGGACAATAACTTGAGGAGATGGTAGGGTCTAGTGAGGGTTTTTTAAGGTGTGGTGAGACTTAGGGGTATATATAAGCAACAGGGGAAGAGCCAGTAAACAAGAAGAGATTAAAGATTGGAGTGGGGTGACGATTGTGGGGGCAACCTGCTGGAGAAGACAGGAGGGGATGAGATCAAGGGTATGTGTAGAGGGATTGGCCTTAAAGGGGAGAATGGTCCACCTCTTCATCAAAGTCAAGGGATTGTAAGATGTGGAAAAAGAAGAGAAGAAGGAGCTCTCAAGGAATGGCCTCTATTTTTCTCAGTGAGGTTTTAGGTTTGGTCCTCAGCTGAGAGGGTTGGGGCAGAGGGGCCTGTGGGATGCTCGAGGTTTGGAACAGTTGCTGAGGGGAGTATGATACAGAATCAGTTAGGGAGGAGTAAAAGGATTGGCTCACTGCAGTAAGGGCCCAGCTGAAATTAGAAAACATAAATTCATAGGTGACCCATCAGCTCAGTTGTGTTGACATCCTCTAACTTTGTTTAGCAGCAACAAGTGAGTAGGAGTGGAGGAGGCAGATGGTGGGAGGGATCTATGGTTTGGATTCAGCAACCATTGCAAGGTCTTTCTCCTCCCCAGTTCTAGACTTCCGATCTCCCCAGCATCATCCATTATTCTCTTCTCTTTTGCTCTATTCTCATGGGATGAGCCAAGGATACCCCTTCTACTTGTGCCTTTGATACCCTCCTGTCACCTCCTAGCATTTGCCTCTTGGACCATCCTTTCTCTTTCCCTAATGTATCTTTAAAAATATCAAAATGAAAGTTAAACTACTTAATTGTATTTAACCTATTGCTTTAAAACAGTATGACCCCCTTTAAGAAATCAGGTTGATGAATCATTCATTCAGAGGCAATCTCGGGTATAGTTAATTGAGGTCATTGAGACAGAAAAATATCATATGCCATTACTACAAAAGGCTAGCTTCTAGAAGTGCTTTTTTCTAGGAAGATCAAAGGAAAACATAGGCCAATGTGGTTGGATCACAAAGTTAGTGAAGGATAGTAAAGTGTAAGAAGGAAGGAAGAGGCCAGGTTGTGAAAGCCTTTAAATGTCAAACAAAGCATTTTATATTTGATCTTGAAGGGGATAGGGAACCATTGGACTTTATTGAGGAGGGGTGTGATGTGGTCAGACCCACATCATAGGAAGATCACTTTGGCAGCTGAGTGGAGGCAAGGAGACCAACCAGCAGACATTAGTCCCAGGCATGAGGTCATGAGAGCCTGCTCCAGGGTGGTGGCAGTGTCAGAGGAGAGAAGGGGTCATATAAGAGTGCCATTGTGAAGGTAGAAATGGCAAAACTTGACCATAGATCGCATGTGTGGGGTGAGTATGAGAGCAGGAAGGACTTGGAGGATGGTGGTTCCCTAAGAAAAGAAGGGAGGATTTGAGGGGAAAGAAAATGAGTTTTGTTTTGGACATGTTATTTTTGAGATACCCGTGGGACATCCAATTCGAGTTGTCTAAAAGGCAGTTGGTGATGTGAGTCTAGAGCTCAGGAGAGAAACTAGGTCTAGATATAGAGATTTGGGAGTCATCTATGTAGAGATGGTATTTGAACCCATGGGAACTGATGAGAGAAGAGAGCAGGGTATAAATTGAAGATATTGTGACTGGGCTGGTCCAGCTGGATCCTAGGGTTCAGGTTTGAGCCAAGAAAGATACTCACACTCATCACGTCTCAAATTAGGGTCTTCAAATTAGGGTTATTAGGATTTACTGTGCAAAATCAGCAGCCATCTGGGTCCAGTGGCAAGATATAGATCAGGACG